TTAAATGTTGATTGAATCTACAGCTTAGAGACCCAATCGAGGGTCATCGGTAGTTTGAACAACGTAGCGGTGGCGAAATATCTTTACGAGTAAAATTCTAATGAAACAAAAACAATGAATTTGTATGCAACACGCTCCATCATTCATAAACCTTCCACACGCTATAAGTCTCAAAATGTAAGCCGTAAAACTAACACGCTCGGACAGAAAGCGTGTTTTTGTTATTCTTTACATTTTATTCTAACAGCATCTTGAAAATATGCAGTATATCTACTGTGAAACTTTTTAAATACCTACTGTGAGAATATAATGGGTTGATAGTTAAGTTTCCCCTGAATTTTAATGCATACATTTTAAAATAATCGCAGTGTGTCTATGATATTTTAACCGACTTCAAAAAAGAAGGAGGTTCTCAAATTCGATTGTTTTTTCAAGTGAATGTGAATCTTGAAAGTTGATGCATCTCATTAAATGGGACCACCCATGTAATCAAGATTCTAACTAGAAGTTCTGGATTAATTATTAATAATGCATATTAGAATCGACTACAACTACATTGATGTTATTCTCATTTTATTTTGTTTTGTTGATGTCGTTCTTTTTTAGGTAAAAAAATTCCTGTTACAATTATCCTTAAAATTAACCGTCAATTATTATAATTTAAAATATTTGATTTTATTGTAAAATAATACCGATATGTAGCATCCAAGCATTATCTCGTATAACCCTTACCTATGACTTATTTTCAATATATTTGCTGCAAAAGATAACAGCGTGTGAATATTATATCGAATTGTTATCAACGCAGTCAGACCTCATTTCATTCCAACCTTACCAAGCATATTATTAAGTTTGATTATTTAACATAAATTAAATCTTAGCCCATTGAGGCTCATTGTTAAAATATAGCACAACCTACCTGTTTTTGTGTTTTATCTGGAAGTATGATCGAAAGTTCGAACGATCTATTTTTTTTGTCTCTGCTAGTTGTTCGCATCAGTTTGGATGAGGATCTCGTTATGCTTTGCGCTTTCTCCGGCAACTTTAGCGCAACAATAGACATGCTTCGCGAAAGACGCCTTCCCAGTTTGCGAGTGCGCAGCGACATGGATCCTCCTAAGCCTCGCTTACTGCGCCCTTCTACCGTCGCCCCCGGTGCACCCTCCTCGACACTACCACTCTCTTCAACAGAACCAGCCATCGCACTTTATATAATCAGCACAGAATAGATTTTATACTATGTCAACAATCACATCTCCAATACATTAAGGTCACGAAATTGCACTACAAACATCCGAGTTTTCTCTTCACTGAGTCATCTTGTGTCGCGAACAGAAGCAAACAAATCCATTAACAGATGATCTGCATTGTTACGAAACGCTGTGATCGAAAATCAGGGTCGAGTAGCTCGGACTCAACCCGGATCATATGGTCACGGAGCCGGTTTGCAAACACCCACAGTGTGAATCTCACGAGGTTGGACAATGTAACTATACGTAAACCATAAACTTCACATCGAAACAACTGGGATTTCAAGTTATTGTATGGGCTATCGTTTCGTTTGAAATAGAGCACGTTATCAAAAGCGTTGCTTGCGAGAGGAGAGCGGAATGCGCCGTGTGCGCTGCTATTCGCGGTAGAATAACGACTAGAAGCGAAACGAGGACCGATGCAACGCGCTAGTCGCGAACTGTCAGGAGACAGGCACCGCGCCCCGCCGCGGTTTGAACGCTGGCACCGTCACAACTTAAATCAAATTATATACCTACAATAATATAAGTTTGATTATTTACTCCTTTGAAATGCATTGTGCTTCAATATGGACAAAAAACTTCCAGTATTATGTTCAAACACAATAACCGATACGACGCTCTCACGACATTTTACAATATGATTTAAAGCTTCAATCGCTGGTATAGTAAACTGTTTTATATAAAATAATAGATGTAACGGCAGTTTTAGTCAATGTGTTATAACATGTGCAAATATTTAACATATTTCGTATACTTAATGCGTTAAACACAGCATGAGCTCCTAATAATAACATAAATAAATGTTGTGAAAATTACAAAGTACACGAACGGAACTAAACAAATATCAAGTACTTATTGCTTATTATAGGTTATTCAAGAGCTTTCAAGGTAATCGTGTTTTTGTATTTAAAACGAAGCATGTATGTATATGTTTCCTATTGTAAGTAGATTACTTATAAATTGAATTATTGTATGAAAAATAGTTTATGCTTTTGAATGAATAGTGTTAAATTGACAGGATTAAAAATTTTAAAGCACCGATAAAATAAAAATCTGAGAAATCATCTTATTTGCATAGAAAGTACCTTTATGACTTGTGAAACTAGCCCCACAAGAAACAACTCTAGTGTATCTATTTATAGTTTCAAAATCAGATACGACTAGGCTTTGAACCAACAAGGACCTTTAGTATCAATTTGACACTTTTTTACGACGTAAAAAGCTGAAATATGTAAGTTTTGTAGTTCGAGCTTGAGGCCTGCAACGTGGTAATATATCGATGCCTGCAACCTAGTCGGCTACTGCCATTTTGAGAATTACAAGGACCTTGTGAGTGACAGAATATCGTGATCACAATTATTATTAAAACTACTTTCGAACGAACACTGTAAAGTATCCAAAACGTCGGAAATAATATTATAATGACGATAAAAAAGACGAGATTAGAACATAAAAGTAGTTTTAATTATTTCTACGAGTCGCAAAAACCGCGGTAAATATGTATTACTACCTATATCTTATTCACACTAAATAACGTGTATTTTGTAAAAACTATAAAATTAAACATGTTTTGTGTATATCTTTACTATCTAACATTTACTTTAAAAAACGCGATCCTCAAATGTGGTTAGTTTTTGTCATAATAGGTTGGGGAAAAAGCTTCTTCGCATTTTTTAAGAAAATTCACAACATTTTTTAATATAGATTATTTACATTTAACTAAAGTATGTAGGTACCATTTTGTTCGATAACTTTTATCATCTTGTAGGTAGGAACATGATCCCATTGCTATAGAAATTTTGGGGCATCTGATCAAAATACCACGACAATTAATTTTGGCAGTCCTCTCGTGATGTTAACCTGACACTGCCTAAAAAATTCTGAAGAGACCGAAATAGGAAATCTGAAGGTGCAAGGACAGGATTATACGGCGGATGCATTAACACCTCCCAGTCAAGCTCTCTTAATTTTTGCTGAGTGGCTAAAGATGTGTGAGGTCAAGCGTTATCATGATGAAAAACCACACGCCTTCTGTTGATTAATCCCAGCCGCTTTCTCTCAACTTCTTGCTTTAATCTCATCAGTTGTTTGCAGTAGAATTCAGAATCGATGGTCCTGCCTGGTGGTAACAGCTCATAATGAATAATGCGCTTCCAATCCCACCACACACACAGGATCGCCTTGTTGCGAGTTAACCCGGGTTTCGCCACAGTCTGTGAAGTCTGACCGACCTTTGACCACGACCTTTTTCGCACGTTCCTGTCGTACGTGATCCACTTTTCATCACCAGTTATCAGCTTCTTCAAAAATGGTTCGGTTTCATTACGTCGTAATAAAGAATCACAAATAAGTACACGACTCATTAGGTTTTCATTCAGTGAGCTCGTGAGGTACCCAAATATCGAACTTTTTTCAAATGCGCCAATACTGTTTTGTGGTCAATTCCCATTTCTTCAGCTACGTCGTAACTACTGATATGCCGATCTTGCTCCACTTTTTCAAAAATGGCATCCTTTTATTCGTAATAGAGCGATCAGAGCGACGTGCATCTTTGACATCAAATTTTCCGGATTGAAAACGCTTAAACCAAATTTGTGCTACTCTCACAGACACTCCACTAGGTCCATAAACATCGCAAAGTTTTTTCGCGGCTTGTTTTGCATTTTTACCCTTTTTTGTGGTAAATTTTTAAAATGTATCGAATTTCTTCATTAAATTCACTCATCTTGACAGTACAAAAAAATAAACAAAAATCTGTAAAAATAATTATCTCCTTTAAAATTGAAACTTTTAATGATACCAAAACCAGCCAGATACGAATAGTATAGCCAAAGAGATTTTATTATAAGTTCATACATACTTTAATGCCTAAAGACTTTCCCCAACTTATTATTAAATCTAAAATTGTAAGCTTAAAAATGTGTAATAAATTAATAATACGAGCGAAGATAACGGTACATTTACTGGGATACAACGATTTAATTTCTTGAATAAAACTTTTTATTTGCATTTGATGTTCGTGCAAACTAGACAAGCGAACTGTTAAAATGTATTTTCAATGATTGTGACAATTTAAAATCAAATGTCAATGACATCGTTGTTAGCGAAAACGCTTATAATGTCGTAGTAGTTAATATTGTAACATTTTTGATAAAACGTGTTTTATGAGAACCTAATGCAGTGAGTGAACTAATTCTAATTTAACACACTTGTTTACATATTTGATACCTGTTTCTTAATTCGAAGTAATTAATAGAAGTGAATGTTTGTCTGTTCGTAACGTATGCAATTATTCTCTGATTTCAATATTACTAATGACTGCTTTCTTTACTGTTTTTAAGTTGTTGGTACAAACAAATATGTACATAAGATTCATGTTATTATGATTAACGTATCCGTATTTATTATCGTTGCAATAAATTTCCCCGTTATTTCGTTCCTATTGTTTGAAAGTTTGCAAGCACTTATTTATCCTTTATGCTCTTTAGTTGTATAAGTTTTTTAAATCTTAATACTTTGAATATATTTACGCAATATTCTGAGGCAACTGGAATTTCGAAAGTTGCTTTATTGCACAAATAATATTACACACATATATATACCTGCAATACAAATAAATAAAATCGGTATGTAGTTTTGATTTCATCATTTTAAGGCTCAGTATTTGTATCTTATAATAGTGAACACAAAGAAATAGAAAAATAATTGTGTTTCACTACCCAATCATGGTTCTTGGGATAAGTTAGAATGAACATCAGTACAGTACAATTGGTAACATGTGATCTGATACATTTTGATTGCCTCGTTGGGACGGTGGTGATAAACTTGACAACCAAAAACGAGATCCGGGTCTGATTCCCATTCGTATACAGTATCTTTGAATAGGTAAGTGAGGGTTCACTTCTCATCCTTTCTTCTCATCATATTTTATTTTGGTATGGACTTACAGATTTATAGAAAAACGTATAGTGTACAATACATATAAATTATAAATATCAGTAGGCAATCGTAGAAGATATGTAGATGTCGTGGTGGCAAGGCTGAAGCATGTTGTGAGCCACTACAGATAAATGTTATACCATTTCCATCATCCTGAATAATAACGCTGCAAAACATATTTCAGATGCAGTTTGAAAGGTACACAATGAGACTCATGTCTCGAATAGGGTGGTGCCAATGACGTGTATATTGTATATGAACTTCAGTAACTTAATACCCGATGGGCTATGAGCTCATCTGCCCGTGTGCAGCATAAAAATACGCACACTGCATTTTTTAAAATGAATCCCCAGAAAATAACCTTTCGAAAGTTTATTATCCATTCCGCATTTACGAGTTTCTCGTCACCTCATCAAGTGTTATTTATTACTAGCAAAAAAACTTCATACGTCCTTTTATCCCTTCTGCGTTTATCAATAAAATTAAATAGTTTTAACATTTAAATTGTCGTTGATTGTGGTTTACTACTTCAAAGGCCTTGAAATTAGCAGACCAAGTACTTGATGGATGACTAAAAGCTTATGACGACGAGTCCATTGTTGATTTCTTTTTTGTTCTTTACTCGAGATATCGTTTTGTTTGTTAAAATACTTTAAATTGTGCCTAAAAAAATTATCAGTAACTAAACGGATATGAGTTCTACAACATATTTTTCGTACGATAGCATCTTTTTTGATAATCTTCAGTCGAGTCCAGAGATTGATTCGAAGTAGAGTTTCAATCCAAAACGTACAACTGATTCGCAGCAGAGATAAGCAGGATATTCGATTGGCGTACCTATATCCAAATTATAAATTACTTTATTACGCAAAGAAGAAGTCTTCATGAACACGTTATGTGTGCGTTTATGTCTGTGTACTTACAAAAAATAATACCTGTCAGAGGATATTGAACCGACCTAGCTGGATCTCACAGTACGAGTACACCAGACATCTTTCCGATAATGTTACGGACACTTCACAAATACCTAGTTTAATAAAAAATTATAAACATTCATCTAATATCTGTATATCCATGTAGCCTGAGCTGTTTTGCAATATGTATTTTTTGGATTATTGAAAATTCGAGTTTAAACATGAAATTGAAAAGGATTTTTCGCTCAGACACATTGGATCTTTTACTACATCTATTGTTCTTTATTCCAATGCGAATCTTCAATGAACAAACAAGAAGAACACAATAAACACACATTCATGGGCGCGTAACATAATTTTGCTAAGATCGTAAAACGTTGTGTTCATAGGAAAGTTGAAACCTCGTGGAGGAAAGATGGAGATTGGAAAGGTCGTTACTCGAGCCTTTACTCTGCAAGGCGTGTTTCACTGTGAGTTACTGTGTATACATTTATTTTAAACTATTGATTGGTATTATTACTGTACGATAATGTCCATAAAATTATTAAAGAAAGACCCACAGCGCTCCTATAGTTAACCATAAACCTCTAGATTCATACAAAATGAGTGATTTAATATATTTAACTTATTGTTATCAAATACTTTTTTTTCATTAGGCTTTTTCATTATGGCAATTTACGAGAGTGTTATTGAAATTTATCTTGGTGCCAAACAAATGGGGCATTTATTTTATTAATTAGGACGTAAATTTAAAAAAAAAAAAAACTATTGTAGTTTTCAATAAAATTAACAACAAATTAAATATACTTATTTTAAAGTAACATTCCGTCATGAGTAGGAAGTACGCGGTTTTGTAGGTGCGTAGTTAGATACAGACAAAATATTATATCTGTTGCACAATTCATTAGGCTACAGAATTACCCTGCAGATACACTATACCTAACCTAACTTCAGCAATAAAAATGAAAATAGCACACAAATGTAAAGGTGAGAGCCTTGATAAGTACTTTAAATGTAAATCAAGTAAGTAAGATTTCAAACATGCTTAAGACACAATTATCCATGTTGCCTGACTTTCCAACAAAAATACCTTTGAACAAACCCATGACTTTGTAAGTCTAATTGATTGCTTTAAGGAATATTATTATTTTTAATTGTGTATTATTTAATTGTAACAACAACTAAATTCAAGCTCCTATGGGTGTTACGTAGTGATAACTTGCAAGGTTTACTATAAATCAAGTTGCACCCACTCATACTGTTCTGCTACTTGTAACCTATACTAGAATATAATTAATAGACGGCGGCTTGTCTGTGCCCCTGGCATTGTCAATGTCTACGAGCAACGGTGATCACATATTATTATCTCATAGCTGATGGTTGCATTTACAATACCCGACGATAAATATTGCACATCGACGCTAGGAGAGAAACAATCAGCTAATTCCGACAGAGATAACGCTCGACAAACCAAAATTAGCCGATTGCCTCTCTTTAAAGTTCGATGTACAGTCAGGTACTGTACAAAATGTCGTTCCGGTAAATAATGAAAATCAAGAGTACTACGTGTGTGTGTATCAACCACGCATCTAGTTGTTAAAAAAAATACACACTGATCACCGTAGCAAAATAGGAATTTTTAAAGCCGCGTACATACCTTATAGATGCGTAAAAATACACGTTATGTAGTGTACACACTCTAGAACGAATCAAATATTATTCAGAATAAAACATAGTGAGTCATATCCGTGAGTCATGTCATTGGTGAAAAAGTCAATGCAACATAAGACAGCATCAACTATTGTTGATTGCGATCCTTAATGTCGTTGCCTGTCGTAAAATACCGGAACAATAACTTCAATGAGAATTTCCTTGTTAATCTATAAAATAAACAATTTGATCTTTATTATATTGCTTTTCTGTCAGTGGCGCTGTATGAAAAGGTATAATATATAATATAATAAGTTATACTTACATTTTGTAGGTACTTTTTTAATTCTTTAAATGGGTAAACGATATCACGATCCTCCTGGTATTAAGAGGTGACAGTGACCTATAGAACTCAACATTAAAAATGCCACCAACCTGAATGAAACATAAGTTCAAAGTCGCAGTTCAGTGATATAGCGACTACCTCCAGTCTTCAAACTGCAACGAATCATTGCTTCACTCACTCAGCACTCATACTTTAATCTTTAAAATCTAAGAGAGTTTATTTAGTTTATTCTACGTATGTAGGTACATATGTACATTAATAACCAAAAATAATTTTAAATATTATATTTTTTCCTGACAGTACGAAAGAAGAACCTCATCGCATCTCCTTTTTAACCGATTCATCTCCGCACAACATCCTAAACAGAATTACATCAGACTGTGAAAGTTCACCGTCAGCATCCATTACATTTTCTTCGCGCATGATATCGTTGCTGTCCCAACAAAGCGACTTGTACAACAGCATCCGAGGAAGCGTACAGCATCAGTAAGTCTAGCCTCAGGCTTTAGTAAAAGTATAAAGTATCTGAAATAGATGAAACTATTGCTTTTACAATTAAATTCATTAATGATAAGGCAGCTATTATTTCAGTATCTATTTTTATCTATGGTTCGTTTAAAAAAAACTACTGAAAATAATTTTCAATACCTGTATTCTATGCATTGCCCTCACGGAACAGTCAGAATCCTGTAAGTCATCTATCCGATGATTTGCAAGCGAAGTAAATTATCCCTTTGTAATAAGGTGACACTATAAAACTTGCATACGCCCCGTCATGACCTATACAAGTGTAGTGTTCGCTCACGCGGCCCGCACTAATTTGAAACCTGGAAACCTAAATTGTCGCCCTAAACACCTCATTACGGACCTCCTGATTCATTAACGGTGTTTTTAAATTCAAGCAACCGTCACCATCATCGCCGAACCCGTCGCTTGCGACGAAAGGCTCGGTGAGTAAATTAACCCACAGACACAGCCCACTGAATTTCTAGCCGGATCTTCTCAGTGGGTCGCGCTTCCAATCCGGTGGTAGATTCTGCGAAGCACTGCTCTTGCTAGGGCCAGTGTTAGCAACACCTGGTTTGAGCCCCGAGAACTCACCTCCACGCTAGGGTAACGCTGATATAACCTCTCAAGGCTATCATGGATTAGGTTTAAAAAAAAACCTGTCAATCTAGTCTTGCAACATATCTCTTCAATAAAAAATTCATGAGACTTTCGCACCATTAGTGACTAAACGACTACCAAATTTGTTAACGAAAGGTCACGGGACTTAGGCGGGCAAGAGACATTACTTTTGAACATGGTTCGTGCTAGGAAAGTACAAGACGTTGAAGCACAAGACAAAACTCTTGACCTTAAAGATGACCTAACAGATGAGTAAGTAAAATTGAGTTTATGTGGATTTTATGGGATCAATTACATCACATAATATAGTATAAGAACAAGAAAATCCATGAAATTCCTATTTGAGAATAATCTGAGACCTAATAGTTGAGTTATCCGTAGTGATGAATTTAGTGTCATAACGATGGTACTTTGCCTTAGTCTTATTCTAGACTGAATAGAAATGTTTCTGAATAAATAACACAGATATCAAACAATTTCACGAAGAATATCAACGCTGAAGAAATTAAATCGTGTGAAAAAACAAACCAGCAATTTTTTTTTTAATTTTATGCTTATCACAGAGGTGCAATATCCTACCTATATACATACGTTAGGAACGTTAGGTTAGGTTACATAGGTTACAACATTAATGATTTAATAAAAGAAATTTTTTAGTCAACGAAATGAGGGCTGCATCCATGGTATCAGTATGCGCACAACAGATCGCAGTATCTCCCGGTCTCGTTTCTCTCGTGTCTCAACACGTCGTGATATGGACATACCGTCCATCTTAGCTTTCACAGCCAACACTACCCAGCCAGTTAAGTATAATTTAAATTTGTTGCATCTTTTATAAAATGATGCCGATTCTATTGGAATTTTTTGCAAAATTAGGTACTTACCGAATTTCTAAAGATAAAGGAATGCATTTAAAAAAAGATTTTGTACATTATGTTTTATTGATTGATTTTAAGAAAATTTAACCTATAAGAAGAAAACATGCAAAGCAATCTTAATTGAGACTAAATTATGATTAGGTACAATTAAAAATGCCGGTTGGCCAGCAAAGTAATATCTTGAAGCGAGAAGAATTACTACGGTGGTCTATTCGTAAAGCCATTTGCCCTGTGTGTTCACAAAAATGGAGAGACAGAAGTTCTATAACAAGCATTAAGAATTCTGGTAATCAAATTAAATTAATATCTCTGCAGTTACTTCGTATTTAATTTTAAACAACTCCTAATAATTAATTTTGTTTCTTATCGGGTTCAAGGTCTCAAAAGAAACACAGCAAATGAGATACCCACAATTATAGCTCCAGCCAGATTAAGATCTTCAATTAATATGGCTTAGTGAGTACATACATGTTTAATTTTGTGAATAGGTCGCTAAATTCAAAAGACTGTACCTACACACATGTCTGCCGTTCTGTGCGTATCTTTCAAAAACTACCGGATAGATTACGATCAATCCGTTTTGTTTAGTATATATTGTTGATAATAATATATTTTAGAAATAGTAGTTTTTTTTTCTTTCGAAATGCAGTTAATATAACAAAAGAGAAAATTTAATACATAAATATTGAAGTCTCAGTGGTTAATATTGAATTCATGCGCGAAGAAATGTAATTTGAATAGCATTATTTGTCAATGTTTTAATTTGTTTTATTAAAAAGTTCGAACTTAGATATGTATCACAGCCTTTCATATACAAATTATTTTCAGGTTTAGTTTTGTTTGGCACATGATGCGATTTAACACAGGCAACCAAGATTATTTAAAATTATGTTTTTCAAATGACTTCAATTATACTCTTGCTATCAATAAATTTAAAAGAAACAATTGAAGTGCACTAAAATAATTAACATACATACGTAGATTACAATTATTAAACAATTTGGAGATTTATTTTTATCTCCATTTAACAACTAATTATATGGACTACCTACGTAGAATTCTAAGCTAATCCACAAATTCTCGCATTTCGGAACGTAAAACTGCTTCCAATATTGTTGTTGGGTTGCAGCAACCCGAAGAAACTCACACAATAATGGGGACAAGGGAATAAATTTTGAATATATTCTAAGTTTATTACTTCTATAGGCAGATGATAGGAATGCAGTAGCTAGAGAAAACCAAGTTCGCACATCGTATCTTTTAATTTTCAAACCTTGACATCAACTTTAATCTTATTAGACCCTCTCACCTTATTAGAGTTCTTTAAAATACAAGTAACGAACATAGTTTAGTAGGTATTAAAAGTATTTCACGGTTATAGTTCGGAAGCACATTGCGGATGTAAAGAATATTCGAGCGCACAAGTATGCAATATCTATAAAGTGTCGCGACAACACATGTCATTTTTGTTAAACACCAGAGCGGACCCAGAGCGGGCCGCTAGTGTATTATAATCTAGACAGGGGTGCTAACCATTTTAAAAGATTTGACAAAGTCGAAATACTTTTTGGCAAAGAAGTCGTCAATATCCAATATCACACAAGGTGCACGAGGCCATTGAAATAAATAAAAATATACCCTTACTTCAGAGAAGATGGTTAGCGCTAACACTTTATTTTTAATGTGAAAATGACAACTCAAGTCAAATAAGCTGCCTGATCTCGGTATACTTTTAGTTCTTTCTGCTTCGATCAATAAATTATTAAACATGTATGTACTCAATAAATTATTGATCGAAGTCTTTCTGTGTGGAATAAAACGTAAATGTCCTGAAACTTTGAGGGTAGTAAGCACAATATTCAAACGAATGACGCTTTAGCTCTTAGAAAAGTCGAAAATAATAAAATTAAAATAATGAACGTGAGATTAAGCCGTAAAAGTAGTGTTATTTACGAATAAAGCAAACACGTCTGGAATCAATACTTTATGTGGATTGCACAATAAAACTTTCAAGTTGTTGTTGAGAGTCGATTAAAAAAGATAGGGAGAAGTGATGCTAAGAATAGATAAATTTAATTATCTTTCGCTTTAGTGTTCCTCGTCCTAATCTGGCTCTGGTGGATGAAGAGAAGAGCATTAGCGGGATGCGTAACACAAGTGCGACATGGCAATTGACGCGGGCAAGGAAACTTCGTCTTCCTAAAATGAAGATTCCATCTCCCGAGGCCAGTGCTCCTCCAAAAGCAACAGCACCACTTGCTAGAAAAGATCTAGATGCCAGGGTCGCAAAATTCCTGAGAACTTGAATAAAATTAAATATTTAACAAAAAACTAGTTTTAACATTAGATATTTTGGAAAACTTTTAATACCCTAATAGGTCCAGTTTTGAGTAAATTCAATAACAAAAAAGACTACACCAGAATTTATTCAAGTAATGATGAGTTATTTGTGATAAATATCAAATTATGAATCCTAGTGTAAATTTTTAAAAGCCGTTTTTGTTTAGTGTAGCGGTACTAAATTAACAAAATAAAACAATTCACACGACTTTGCCTCTTGTGGTTCAGCTAAAAAGTCCCAAAAGCTGTTTTCATTACATATTTTGTTTCCTGAACTTTTCAGTATTCCCTGAGTAGGTACGTAGTTAGATAATTACTAACTTTTTTTTACAAGCGGTGTAGTGAACCCTAGTGTCAAAATACATGCTGTCAATCCTATTACATTCAATGTCATCTGTCATTTTAGTCATAATTTCAATTTTTTAAAAGCCGGTCAAACAAATTAAATCTGTAGTATAAATTTTCAAAAGGATTAATATGGCATTGATTCCCTATTCTAAAACATTGTATTCTGCCTTTAAATCGTACGCAACTAATTGTGTAAACATAAAAGGGGCAGTTCGCAATTTAACTTCTAAACAGCTGGTGTATAGCGAATTCGGCGATCCATTGCATGTTGTAAAGTACAGGGAATGCCAAGTCCCACCGCTGGGGAGCCAAGAAGTGTTGGTGCGCATGCTGGCAGCTCCGGTTAATCCAGCTGACATAAACACAATACAAGGTACATACACTAAATCATATAAAACATTTAGTTTTTTTTACAGTGATATCGATCTAATTCTTGTTTGAGATGAAGAAGTAACTTAAAGGTACTTTTATTAACTACAGTATTTCTTACATTACCTAAATACAGAAATCTTCATTCTAAATATTTCATCTCATTGTAGGAAAGTATCCTGTGAAAGTAAATCTACCTTGTGTGCCTGGAAATGAAGGAGTTGGAATTGTTGAAGAGGTAGGTAAAGAAGTCAGTAGAATATGTCCTGGGAACAAAGTCATAGTAACTAAACCAGTTCAAGGCACTTGGAGAGATATAGCAATTTTCAATAAAGATGTTCTAAGAGTTGTTCCTGATAATCTAGGTACTGTAGAAGCAGCTACGCTAACAGTAAATCCATGTACTGCCTATAGAATGCTGTCAGACTTTAAACCAGTTAAAGACGGCCTTGTTGTTATCCAAAATGGAGCTAATAGTGCGTGTGGACAAAATGTCATTCAAATATGTAAAGCTTGGGGAATAAAGAATATTAACATTGTTCGGAACAGGCCAGAAATAAATGAACTGAAAAAGTATTTAGAATGTCTTGGTGCAACTTATGTGTTAACTGAAGAAGAATTGAGATCAACAAATATATTTAAGGAAAAGAAAATTAACAAGCCTTCCCTAGCCTTAAATTGTGTGGGCGGAAAAAGTTCTTTAGAAATGTTAAGACATCTACAGCATTCCGGATGCATGGTGACTTACGGTGGGATGTCCCGAGATCCTGTGTCAATACCGACATCGGCATTTATTTTCAAAAATCTTTCCTTTTTTGGATTTTGGATGACTGCTTGGAATGAAAAAGCTGACCTAGTACAAAAAGATGAAATGATAAATGAAATTATTTCATTGATGTGTGAAGCCAAGTTGAAAAGTCCTGTACATCAAATGGTTAAATTTGAAAATTTTCAAGAAGCTTTACAAAATGCTCTTACAGTTAAAGGGTTTACAGGATGTAAATATATTTTAGATTTCACTAAGACTTGTTAAGCATAGTTGAATTTATGTTATAGATTTAACTAAGATAGTAATTATAAAATGTTCTTAATAAAAAAGATTATATAGTGGAAGTGTTCTTTTTTCTCTTTATTAATCACTCATTGCAAGGCTCATTAAATAACTGCTTATTTTTCAATTTGTATAACTTATGTTGTTCATTGAATACACAATTTCTGCCTTTAATTTCCTTAATACTTGTGATATGTACTTATAATATATTCACAAATTTATGTGTACCATTACAGGTAGAAATTACTGTCTGCCCAGTTTACCGTCTATCCCGGGAGATGAAGGTGTGGGTGAGGTGCTTGAGATCGGTAGCCATGTATGTGCATGTGAACCTGGTGATCGTGTAGTGCTTACATCAAGATTACTTGGTACATGGAGGTATTATGGTGTTTTTCATGAAAGAGATGTTCATATCATATCTCCAAACATACCTCTTCCTGAAGCCTCAATGCTAACAATAGCCCCATGTATGGCATACAGAATGATCAAGGACTTCAGAAATGTACAACCAGGTCAAACTGTTATTCAGAATGCTGCTAACAGTCCATGCGGTCAATGCATTGTGCAATTGTGCAAAGCTTGGGGAATTAATACATTTAACATAGTTGCTAATCATTATAAATACAAAGTTGTCAAAGATTATTTGCTGAGTATAGGAGCCACTGCAGTTTACACTTTAGAAGAAGCTGAAGAATTGACCAATTTCAACACATCACTGTCTAGGCCCGTTTTGGCCCTGAATTGCATAGGGGCCAGATATGAAAATGTCATCCTCAAATTACTTGAGAGAAATGGAACAGTTGTTTATTATGGTGATGCATTTAATTTGCCCATTGTAAAACAATTTTTGAGATGTGATGTTGCCTTCCATAAATTTCATTTGTGCGAATGGGATGCCAAAGCTACTTGTGTTGAAAAAGATATAATGCTGAACGACATTATAAGACTGATGGTAACTGGAAAATTTAGGGCACCAGTTTACGTGCCAGTCGAACTAAAGAATTATGTTCATGCATTTAGAAATACAGGCCATTGCGAAGCATTTTCAACCGTCAACTATGTGTTTGACTTTACGCTCCCGTAATTCCCATTCCCAAATCAGCTCATAGCAGCAGGGGGGTGCAACTCCCATACAAAGGAAAAGAACATTCAACTAGCGTCATCTTTAGGAACCGGCGAGGTCATTTTTGAAACGTTTTGGCCTTAATGAACTAATAAACTCACTAGATGGCAGACACGAGTTCTGACTCAATAAAAAAGGTTAGCGTACTTTGAAGCAGTGCTTCCACTTTTAGGGAATTCTCTCTTTTTTAGGGAAAAATAGCTGATATTTTGGATGATAAAGACAATTTAAAAAATTCCAGGATTTAGGATATTTCTGGGTAAAAAGCAAAGCCTATACTAGTAACTGTTGTGAATTTTAAAATAAACGATAATGAAAGTAAAACAATGAACATTTTATTTTATGGAGAGAATGACATTAAGTCGAGTTGACAAGTAAAAGAATAAAACAGAGTTGTGTATAAAAACTATAAAGAAGGTTTGATTCAACAGTAAGCCTCTAGTAAAGTAAATCATAGATTAAGCCACTGCTTTTTTCTTAGGGATTCCCCAGAATCCCAATAAGTATAATCCGCCAAATTTTTATTTACCTGTTTTCGTTGATGTCACCAGAACTTACTCGTATTGTAATATACAGGTACTTCATGTACCATGAAAGATTATCATGGTAATTTCATTTACGAAAACCTTGTAATTGTCATTTCACTTTTGCTAGCAGTTCCTTCTTCAAAGACTGAGGTGGAAAGATTATTCAGTGTTCTCAAATTTAAAAACTGACAAAAGAAACAGGCTTTCTAATGAAACCCTGAACGGCTTGCTTCATAGAAAGTTCCCAACTTTGCCAGCAAACAATTGCTCAATTTTAGAACCGAACAGTGTTAGGTTGTGCAGCAAAAGAATATAAAAGCAATGCGTCGACTTCCTTGAAAATTCTAATCCTATAGATCTATGATCTTCTGGGGGCGTTTATATTATATATACCTACATTAAATAATATGCTGTGGTTTATTTTCTGTATTTTATTTACGCTTTCTATATAAAGGATTTATGAAAGTTGTCTAGGAAATTTTAGGGTAAATTCAAAAGAAACTAGGGTAAAATGTGTTAAAAAAAACGTAAGTGGAAACACTGCTTTGAAGTTTTCAAAATTCCAGGGCCGTAAAACAATCTCAAAAAAAAAAAAAGTTTTCAAAATGTCGTAACGATTTAATTTTTTAAATCGTTTTTTTTTGGTCTTGGTGTGAGTTATTTTACGTTGTAGTATTAATTTAGAGCAACTTTTAGCTTTATGAGAATATTAGACGATTAGACATTGAGAAACTCTGTTTTGAATTCTCTTTAGACATAACTTGGCTCCAATACTTTTTTCTTCGTTAGCGTTTCGTAAGCCTGTGTAACTATTTTCATTTCTTACAGAAAGTTTATTATTAAAAATCAGCATGCCTCGAAGATCGAAAATGAAATGCTATTTCGGATGCCTTGATAACGGTGAGTTTACACTATTTTCCCGGTATATTATTTGCTAACAGAATTATTATTCATAATATAATTAAATGAATTAGCACCAACTAATGGTCCTTCCTATTTCTGCTGCCTAGCTATCATATATGTTAAGTTTTGATCAAAACAGTCGGTATTAAGTCTCGTACTATCACACACACACCTCAGATAATAAAATTGTCTCGAGTGGGTGGAAGTATTTATGTTTTGCAACTCAGCGTATTATATGCTTATTGTCAAGTGGGCCCGAACTAGTTTTTTGGAATGATCAATCAGTCATGCTTTCCTGTTTAAATAAAATACAGCACAATTGATCTCACATCCAAAGTTAGATGATGGCATTCACGTTTTGTTTCCTGGTGTTTGATAACTAAGTTACACCAAGTGGCCTGTGACCACGTTCATCCTTCTACCCAATATAAAATAATGTTTTTATTTTTGTAGACAAAGGTTTGATAATGACAAAATTTTATGGAAAAATTATAAGGAGCACTAAAATGTCTGAAACATGAAAAGATTGATGCACTATATTTGAACCAGAACGTGTTATGTAATATATTAATTTGTAAGTAAGATTACATTAACACTAAATTTTTCATGGTCGTATTTTTTCAATATTTGTTACATACTTAAGATACTTTGTTTCTCCGTTTCAGAAGAGAAACTGATTCAGCAAGGAACGTGAACTCTCAAGGGATCTTAATTTTTTTTAAATATGTTTATAATTGATAAATTAATAATTGAAATAGTTCATAAGAACTAAATTGATGCCAATTTTGTTTTAAAATAGGTTGTTTAGTTCTTATAGTTATAGTATTACGTTTGAATAGTTGTAATTAGTAAGTTAGTAATATATGAAAATACTGATATAAATTTTTGTAAATAACCTTTTGTAAATTCTACGAGAAGATGATTTTAATTAATGATCAAAAGTCAACGGTCTTTAAAAGCATTATTTGCAATTATTTAGATTAACTGTGGAATATATTTGCTAAGTTGTGTTTTCTGTATGAGCAGATATAAATGAAAATGCCCAAACATGATTATGTTTCTTACATTTTCATTATGTGAAATCAATATGCTTGTGACTGAGTATATTAATAATTTATTAAAACTTAAGTGATAGACAGCAACCCCTATGGCACTGCTGAAGTTTATAAGCACTGGTGACCACTTATCATGGGCCGGGTTGCGTGCTCGTCTGCTGTTGAGTGCAATAAAAATTTTCGAAACCCTTTCTATTATTTAGATGTAATATTAGTGTACATTTAATTTGGATTAAAAGATAAATTTACATTTTATGTTTGCATGTGTATGTTTATAATTCATTTGCATGTAACGAACACCAGTTTCTTTTGTAACAAAATGTAAACTAATGGTTTGTAATGAATGTAATTAACTTTAAGATGATTTTCTTTCAATCTGCTGTTTGTTTCATCTAGTATTACCAAAGCTAAAGCATCAGAAACGTCAGAATAGAAATAATTTAGATAGGGAATAAAAGTATAACTAATGTAATCATGTCTAAGATTACTATAAGCGTCATTAAGTACAAACTATCAATATTTAAGAGTACTTTAAATCATCATTACATTTTTTAAACATTTTTTGTTTTTCAAATCATGTAATAAAACGTTTGTGCAGAACAAAATGTCACATGTTATGAACATGATTGTGGGTTAATCGTTTCTTAAATTTCTAAATGTTTATAAGAATGCTAAGAATAATTTAGTATTCACTTTAGTGTGTGTATTATCTCTACAATGCTAGTTTAAATGACAATTATTGTATGACGAAGCATAGGTAGTGTTTATAGATGTAATATTTTCATACAAGGTCATGATCTGTCACGATCAACTTTAAGCAAGAACTGCTATCGTTAAGAAACAAATTTATTAAATTTAATTCAAATTGTCTACTATGTTTGTAATGGAAAGCTGACATGTTTATATTTCGCACAAATGACTTAATTGACATTGAATGATTTGATTATCTAGACTTAATTAACTTTTAGATAACTTTCGATTTAATGTGTACGCTAGTAGGATTAATCTAGAGGAGTTATTGTTATTCGAAATTTTATACAATTGTACGTTCATACAATCTTTTAACAGAAAATTGTTTGTAATATAGGGAAATTAAATAGCTTACAGAGAATTACAGCTTTTTATTTTAAAAAACTGTTTTCTCTCTGTATGAAAAGATCTTATCGATTAGAATGCTGAACACAATCAAACATTCCTTAATATCTCATAAGTACTACCGGGAATTTCAGCGATTCTAAACGATAAGATTTTTTCATAAAGAGAGTTATTAAAAATATTAAAATTACTAAAAAAGCCACCTGGTGGGGGGTAGGGAGACTAATAATCGACCGTAGCGACGCCTGCTGGACCGGGCTTTAACTAAAGCAAAAATAAAAATGAGAGTTGCGCATCTATCTCGTATATATTAAGTGTATAATCTATGCATAGCAGTGTCGGAAAACATTGATCATAGATTAAACAAATGTAGTACTGGCTAAACACCAATATGTATGTGGATATTCACAATTTTATTAGTTACGTCGCCGCGTCGCATTGGTTCTTCAGATCCCTCACTATTTAGATATTTTTCCTTATTTTTGTCTATTAATTAATTTAAAAAAAAATCAAATAAGAATATAATTAAAATGAAAAATCACAGTAGGTCCTGTACATAGGTACATAATTGATAAAAGTTGAGACGAAAACAAATATCTGTCATTGTCAATTTGACAGTTTAATTTCTAAACAGCTGGTTCTTTGGTGCAACAAAGTACTATTCAAAAACAGTTTTTTGAATAAAAAATAGGAATATCTAAAAAACAATTGCAAAATATGTTGTAATAATAGAGAGGACTGAATAATAGAGGCTGACAGATTAAACTATTGTAAACGCTGCCATATCGTTAACCAAAAATGGATAAAAACAAATTATTTGAAGGCTACGAATTTATGCAGTCAAATTCAACGGAATCAGTAGCTGTGCCTGGCCAATTTTTCGTAGTCCAAGATGATGGAACATTCCTAAGTTAGTATTAATTCAATAAATTAATACGTTTTTTTTCGAGGTAAACTACACACCAATGTAATGATGCATTACAAAATTAATTATTCGAATTGAAAATATAGTAGGCATTAGTAAATTCGATATTAATCGAGTAGGTATATAATGAAAACAATAAAAAATATAAAAATTAATAACATTTTTTTTTTATTTTCAGTATCCAAACAAATTCAGTATGTAACGGAGGGTCCAGAAACAAAGAATTCGCCAGAATCTTGTTCAGTTTATGAAATTGGATCTGAGCAGTTTTTTGTGAATGTGGATAACTCTTCCAATCTTGTCCCTGTTACAGGTAAATTAACATAAGTGATATTCTGTATAATAATTAATAGACAGCAATAGGAAGTTCAGCTTAGAGTTCATTTGTCTACTTGTACTTAAACCTCAAAGAGAAAAATTAACAGGCTATTAGATGGGCCTTTGACCATCCACCCATTTAATTCACCCTGGCAGCAAG